CCACTTATAAAACATACTTTGCCGTATAAAATGCATACTAAAGCGACTCTGTCATTTCATCAGTTCCTCAATAAATAAATGTGAAACTTTGGTCTGGTCTGCAACAACAGCTTTTAAAATTAACTGCACTTTTGAAAAATTATCCCTAATTGCCTAGTTACGAGTGAAACTCAGGATTTTTTGAGCTTATAGAAGGGACTTATAGATCTTATAGAAAGAACAATAACGAGTTTAGATCAACGCAAAGGCTGTTCACATGCATGTGGCCTTCTTGCGAATGGCAGATTGCCACACTTGAATTTTCCCATTTTCCAGAGCAACCGTTTTCCCACTTATCCCATAAAAGTGCCGAGCCGCCAGGCATAAATTCGCCAATATCCGATGCCGACAAATATGACGACGGTCGTCAAAGTTGTTGAAACGGAAAACGTATAACAAATAGTTTCGTTTCGGGATGTCTTGCAAGGCCAAAGGCCAAAGCGATTTCCGGCTTGTATCCACATTCTGAAGCGTCCAATCAACCAGAGAGTGTAAAATTGCAGGCGGAACATTTTTCCCAAATATCCATTTTTGTGTCGTTCAATACAAGGAATGCTGATAATCCATCGAAGGATTTACCACTATGCAAACACACATTTTTATCTTTCACTCTAACTAATCCATCAATCCGCATGGACGGCGCACGATTATTATTCACTCTTCATTATCTGCATGCTTCAGATCCATCATCGAGATGCGTCCTTAATATACGGATCCTGCATACACAAGCATGCATGGTATTAAGTTGCTTTAACAAAGACAAGCCTTGTCGCTTGTCTAGTGATTAAAATATTAGGCGCAGTCCGGATCAGCTAGACCTCAAACGCCCTTGCCGAGGCTGGCACAAGGAAAACTGTTCTTTTGGGGCCAATTCTTGGGCGAGGCTCAAGTGCGATGGATTTGGAGCAGAGGAAACGCGAGAAAATGATGCCTGGGCGGGGTTTGTGTGTTAGTTTGACGACCATGCGTATAATTAACTGCTCGGTCGTTAGAGATTACGGGATAAATCTAAAAAAACTGTTATATTAACTGGAGATACTCAATTTTCATGTGGAATCCGCTACTGAAATTTTTGTGCGAAAATTGCCAACATCCTGTACATCTTGCGTGTTAGTCGCGTTTGCTTGTTTTACTCCTGCAGTTTCATGTGTGCCGAATGGAATAAATTGTGTTTGAACGAACCTTTAGAGCAACATTTTAAGTTGCGCATTTTTTTGCAACCAACACTTTGTATTAACAGAGTCTCAGTTAAGGTGGCCGTTTCCAACTTTCCCATGTTAACTGCAACATCCTGTATATTAATCGAATGTCGGATTCTTCAGAAATTTCTGGGCAACGTTTAAAGACATTGTCTGATACCTTGAATGTTACAAGCATCAACAATATCGTTTTTGTGCAGATTTCCAGCCAGAAAGTTGGGCCTTGAAATTTTTACACTCAATAGCTAATAATGGGTTCTTAAGTAGCTGCAATTTCCATCAACATCGCAAAAGTTCCTGATTTTTGCGCCCTTTGTAGACGCAGGTTGCGAAAATGAAGTCTTAAACTCGGTAGTTCAGTGTCTTTTAAACATTTAAAATTTGCGGCTTCCAAACTAAAGCAGGCAGCAACTTGCAAATTTCACAGTTTATGGCCAACACACAAAACTTGGAAGCCTAAAATTTCCCATAGTGCTGCGTTAAATTTCGATTTTTTCGTTCTTTGTAAAGGCGAGCCTCAGAACTCAACTTCAACACCGATCGGTAGTTCTCATTTAAAAATTCGGCACTTGCCAACTAGAGCAAGCGGAAACTTGAAAATTTCGCAGTTTATTGCCCACACCCGAGGCTTAAAAGAGCAAAATTTTCCGAGGTTTTCCTTAAATGCTAATTTTTTCGTGCTTTGTAAGCGGCAGCCTTAGAACGAATTTTCCAACTCAGATTGGTACGTTTTCATTTCAAAATTCGTAAGTTTCCAACTAGCGCAAGTAGAAACTTCAAATTTTCTCAGTTAATTGCCAACACTCGAGGCTTAAATCTGTAAAATTTTCCTTCGCTTTGCATTAAAACTTCGTTTTTTTTGTTTTTTGTAAATGCGAGTCTTACACTAAATGTTTGAACTCAGATCGGACGTTCCCAGTTAAAAATTCGTCACGTGTCAACTAGAGCAAGCGGAAACTTGAAAATTTCGCAGTTTATTCCCAACACCCGAGGCTTAAAAGCCTAAGATTTGCCACAGCTTTTCCTTAAATCCTGATTTTTTCGTTATTTGAAAAATCGAATCTTAGAACGAATTTTTCCACTCAGATCCGTAGTTCTGACTTGAAGATTCGAAACTTGCCAACAAGCTCAGACCGAAACTTGAAATTTTTGCAGTTTAT